AATGGTAATATCTTGCATAGTTTTAGTACAGTATCAAAACCAAGAAATTTATATTGATACAATCCTCCTACCTTCTTCAGATTTCACCAGTTTCACATGCAGTCATTGACGAGTGTCTTTAATTTTATTCAATTTTATCACATATGTAGATTTGAGTGACCATCACCACAGTCAAGATATAGGACAGGTCCATCACAAGGATCCTTCATGCTGTCGTTTTATAACCACAGCCACTTTTCTCCCATCCACCAACCCAACCCCTGGAAAGTACTAATTAACCTGTTATCCCTGTCTATAATTTTGTCATTTCAATCATTCAGTATAAATGGAATCATACAGCATGTAACCTTTTGAGATTGGCTTCCTTCTCTCAAGATAATTCTTTTAAGATCCATCCAAGTTCTTTCACGTGTCAGTAGTTTGTTGCTGTTAATTGCTGATAGTATTCTATGGTATGGTTGTACCACTGTTGGTTTAACCAGTTACCCATGGAGGGACATTTGGGCAGTTTCCAGTTTGTGTATTTTACAAATAAAGCTTCTGTGAACATTCATGTGCATGTTTTTGGGTGAACATAAATTTTCATTTGTCTGGGATAAATGCCTGAATATAATTGCTAGGTGATATGGTAAGCGGATGTTCAGTTTTGTAAGAAACCATACTCTTTTCCAGGGTGGTTGTACCATTTTACATTCCCATCAGCAATAAATGAGTGTTCTAGTTCCTTTGCATCCTCACAACATTGGATATTATCACTATTTTTTATTTTAGCCCATCTGATAGGCATACAGTGATAGCTCATTACGGTTTTAATTTGCATTCCCCTGGTGGCTGATTGCATTGAATGTCTTTTCACGTGCTTACTTTCCATCTGTATATCCTCTTTGGTGAAAGTGTGTTCATGTTCTTTGCCCATATTCTAATTTGATTGCTTGGTTTTTTACTGTTAAGTTTCAAGAGTTGTTTATATATTCTAGATAAAAGTCCCTTGTTGGATATGTGGTTCACAAATATTTTATCCCAGTCTGTAGCTTATCTTTTTATATTCTTAACAGTCTTTCACAAAGCAAACATTTTTTAATTTTGATAATGTCCAGTTTACCAATTTTTGTTTTTATGAGTCATGATTTTGGTGTCATCTATGAGCTCTTTGCTTAGCCTTAAGTTCCAAATATTTTCTCCCATTTTTTTCCTAAAATTTTTACACTTTTACATTTTATACTTAAGTCCGTGATCCATTTACTGTCCAGTTGCTTCAGCGCTATGTGTTGAAAGGGCTAGGCTGCCTTGAGTGAATTGTTTTTGCATGTTTGTCAAAAGTCAGCTGGACATATTTATGTAGATCTATTTCTGGATTGTCTATTCTATTGCATTGATCTATGTATCTACTCCTTCACTGTTACTACACTGTCTTGGTTACTGCAGCTATATGTAAACCTTAGTATTGGGTAGGGAGTCTCTGGTTGGTGCAAACAGTTAATGTTCTCGGCTGCCAACCAAACGTTGGAGGTTCTAGTCCACGCAGAAGCACCTCACAAAAAAGGCCTGGCAATCTACTTTTGAAAAATCAGCCATCAAAAACTCTATAGATCACAGTTCTATTCTATAACACCCAGGGTTGCCATGAATCAGAATCAACTTGACTGCAACTGGTTTAATATTGGATAGGTGATTCATCCCACTTCCTTCTTCTTTTTCAAAATTGTTTTACCTAATCGAGGTCCTGTGCCTTGACATATAAATTTTAGAATGAGATTGTGTATGTCTACAAGATTTAATGACATTTAATCTGAGAGTTTAATAGGAATTGCATTTAAACCTACAGATCAATTTGGGGAGAATTGATGTCTTTACCATGTTGAGTCTTCCAATCCATGAACACAGTATTTCTCTCCATTTATTGAAGTCTGATTTCTCTAATCAGCATTTTGTAATTTTTAGAATACAGATGTTGCCTGTGTTTTATTAGACCTATAACTATGTATTTCATTTTATTTGGAGCAATTGTAAATGGTATTAAGTTATTATCTT